GGTCAAAAAAGTGGGGCACATCCCTCCAGCCCCCTCCCCTAGTGTCTTGGGCCCTTTTTTAATTTTAAAATGCACATTTATTGACACTACATAAATACCCAAATTTTCATCGTTCCAGCTAGTCTGAAAGGTAGTGAAAAATGTATGGCAAGATTCCGCTACAAAATAGTGGGGCCTGTGCCCCGTTAACCATATATGGAAATCCATATACTTGCAGATCAAAATTTTTATGTTTTCTGAAAGATCATTAAACATAGAATAATGTGTACAATTTTTTTTTTTTATATCATCAAGGCCACATGGCTTTCTTGAGCATCAAAATCAGGTATATAGAAAATTGCCTAAATTTATTTAAATTGATAATTACAGGTACTTAAAAATATTTTTTTACATTTCTGATTATTTCATTGGATTCTTCAACCCTGAAAATAGCCAGGTACAAATTTTTAAGTCAAAAGATTAAATATTTTTAAAGCTATGTGACTTGGAACCTTTAAACAAAGGTCAAATTTCTGAGGGGACAAGAGGGGCCTGGCCAAGATCAGTTAAAAGTAAAATGATCATATTTCATGATCCTCTTGGAGCTAGAAGCTAAAATTTTCAAGGATTTTTTGTTTTACTAAGTACTCTCAACTGTATAAAAATCAGCAAAATCTGAGATGTATGGTGACATTTTTGAAATTTTCTGGCTCAATTGACATGGAATTACCCTATAAGAAACCATAACTGTTAATCAAACTGAGATGTTATTTATTTTTTTAATCAAAAATGATGAGCCCAAGGTTTTAATTGGAAGTGCATTTCTATATATATTAACTTTATTTTTAATATTGTTTTTTTATTTATAATTATATATTGATAAACTGATTTATAATTATATATTGATAAACTTGATTTATAATTATATATTACCAAACTGTTTGTTTTGATCTATCCAAAATAGTATCATCACTTCCAGTAAGATTAGAAAAACAAGAACCTAAAAAAGTAACTTTTATATGTATTTATATATATTTTTATGATAACTTTGTATTATTTATTTAAACCCAAGCATTTCTAACTACTATCAATATTATTTGCACTTTAAGAAAGTTTATTAAAAAGCCTTTTTATGAAAACCTTTCTAAGTACTATCAATATTAATTGCACTTTAAGAAAATTTATTAAAAAGCTTTTTTATGAAAACCTTTCTAAGTACTATCAATATTAATTGCACTTTAAGAAAATTTATTCAAAAAAAAAAGATGAACCTTCCTGTATTGAACACTGTTGTAATATTTAGGCTGGTTTTTCTTAATATGATCTTTCTTTTTTAAACACATTTTTTAAACATTAATGTATTGAGCAACTCTCCCATTGTTGTAAACTTACATCTCTTTACCTTTTTTACAAATACTACCGTATTCGATGCTCAAATTAGCTATTATCTTGAGTCCCACCAACCAACACTAATTTCAGCTTGACTCATCATTCATCAAATTTGCATTTTTATTATTCTCTTTCTCTTTTCTTTCATGTTCTAAAATCATTTATCTCTCTAGATACTTTCCTTGCACTTCAACGCTTTGCCACTCACTACAATCTTTATATTTTTTATACTCGTGTATAAAACCTTGAATGTAACCTTTAACTTTTTATTTCTTCTGTAAACCTGTTTCCTTGCTCTTTAACACTATTCTTAGTTAATAGTAAACTTTAACTTTATAAATGTTTCTTGTTAGAATTGAATTAGTTAAAAAAAAAAAAAAATCAAGCAAGCAGTTAGTGTTATAAAATCAAAACTCTTAAAAATCAAATTGAAAACTCACAAATATCAAATAAAAACTCAAATTAAAATCATAAAACTAAACTCACACCAGAAAAGAACCAGAAAAGTATTTTATTGTTATGAATATTATGCATATTAAGGGGTAAACAGATTCTATCTGCTGACCAGCGGTGCTCCCCTTTTTTATCTATTAGACTGGTGATGATGTATTTATAACACATTATTTTCAATTTAGGATGTTTAATGCTGGATCTTTTTGACTTGTTGCATATGTTTGGCTTGTGTCATTGTTGTATGATTAAGCAATTTTTCTATTATCTCCTAATAAGGGTATATCTCTAAAACTCAGGTTTTTTGTTCTGATGCTGGCTGGTAGTCAGGTTTTCTAAACTCTGTGGTAGCTCTCAGTGAGGCCGAATCCATTACCAGCTGTAAAGTTTTGCAGTACTAACAGTGCCATGTTGCGCATGGATAGTGTCTCTGTTTGTAATTTGGATGTGCATTGTAGAGGCCACATTTGGACCCCTTTATTGCGACTAAAGATTTGATAGTTGTATATACGCAACTTAGTTAGTTGTATATACGCAGCTTAGAATATTTTTATTTAATTTATTTAAAATTCAGTTTTCACATGCTAGACCTGGGTATTTACATTTGTAAGAGTTAACCCATTTGTCAAGAACTAGATTTGAATCAACAGACTATTCTTTTATGTGCTTTTGTTTAGCACCACTTTGCTCTACCACCTTTCTCTTTGTTTTATATCGCTCTCCTTCATCTCAAGACTAAACTTTTTTTGATGCTATTTTTTATTATTTTTACCTAACCATTTCTTTTTATGCTTCAGCCAATATCTTTGTAGTTGCTCACTGTAATGATCATCAAGCAATAAGACAAGTTTTGCGTTTTTCAATTTCAAACACAAAAAGTTTAAATAATTGTTTAAAAAAAAAAAATGTTACTATTTTTATAAGCTAAAAATTAATGATGTTTTTAGTGGTTATGAAGACAGATAAGCTAATAAAGTGTATAACATGAATAGTAGTTTAATTGTAGTAGAGTCAAATCTAAACCCTCACCTTAGTGACTGGGGGGAGGGGGTCCCGACCACTGATTACCTATAATAATATAGAATTTAAAAAATAATGGCTTCATTTTGAAATTAATCTATTAGGTATTTAGATATTGTAGGGTGGCATTGGTAGAGTTGCAACCCCAAAAAAAACGGTGTGTTTTTTTTAAAAAAAACACGTTTTTTTTTGCAAAAAAAACAGACTGGTTCTAAAATCATGTTTTTTATAGTTTTTTTTGCTTTTTTATAGTATTCATTAAATTTTAGATAGTAATAATACTTGAAACAGTTCCAGTGCCCTTAAACCTACAAAATACAAATGTTTTCTATTTAATAAAATGCATATTAACTTATATAATAGCTGTTACAAACTAATCACCAATATTAAAAAAAAACAGTATTAAATATTTAAAAAAGTAATTTTTTAAATAAATCTCAAAAAAACTATACTATTAGCTACTAGTTAATTGTAAGTATAATACTACTGAATGAAGGAAATAAAAATGTTATTTTAGCAGTGTTATTTCATTCATAAAAATGAATGAAATAACACTGCATTGCAAAATACAAAAAACCAACTGTTAAATAAAATTTACTTTAATGTTTTATTTACTTTTGTATATTACTTTTTTAAATTTTTAATATTTAAATTCTTTATTTTATTTTAAATTGCAATTAGATAGCTAAAATTTTATTTATTCAAACAATATTCAAGTAAATAAAAATAACACAATGATTAAATTTGTCAAATGAAAAAACATTTATATTAAACAATTTGTAATCTATTAATTATTTTTAATTAAAAAAAAAAGAAATCTAAAAAAAAAAATGCCAGGCAGAAAGAAATGTTTTGTAGCTACATTGTTCAATGAGGCACCTTTAGAATCTGGAGGTTCTAAAATTCAACAAGTTATATGCAAATTTTGCAGCTTAAAGCTATCAAAAAATGGCACTCGAATGACTGAGCACATTGCAAAATGTATGAAATGTGGCGATCAAATAAAAAACAAATATTTGAACGATATGCCTTTTAAACAGAAGAAAGTTCAAACTGAACTAATGATGGAAGAAGATATTCCTGAAAACTTACCTATTCAAGATATGAAAAAAGAGAAAAAAATATGTTTATCATCTGCTATTCCACAAGTTCCAATTGAGTCTTTCTTTCCAACACCAAGCTGTTTTGAAAACCAAAGTAGGTCAACCCCTAAGTTTGGAGACTGTAAGGCAAATAAAACCAAATCAGATAAGCCTCCCTTAAAACGATTGTATTCTTCAACAAGAGTTCCATTCACAACTCAGAAAAATAAAATTGCATCCTACATTTTAGGAGAGTACAAGAGTTTAGTGTCAGAGTTATCAAGTGACTCTGAAGAATACGGATTTGACTTTACAATAGAAGACCTTAATGAACAAGAAAGCCAGAATACAGAATCTGTTATTAATTAAAAATAAATCTTTTAAATGATGTACTATATATTTACCATATATCATGTTATTAATATATATTATATTACATTTATAATAAAAATAAAAATTAAACAAAAAGTAAAAAAATTTTTTTTTTATCTAAAAAACAAAAAAAACCATAAAAAACACAAAAAACACAAAAAAAACATGTTTTTTTTGCAAAAAAAACACAATTAAAAAAAAACGGTTTTTTTTGCAACTCTAGGCATTGGTCATGGAAATCACGGAAATGTCATGGAATTTTATTTGGTCAATGAAAAAGTCACAAAATTTTTATATTTTTATTGAAAGACATGGAATATTCATGGAACTTTTTAAAATTATCTTTAATTTTTTCTACTTGTAATAATTTTAGGATGCAAAGAAAAATTGCTAAAATGTCTAGTTTTTTTTGAAAGATATTTTTGCAGTGTAAAATATCACAGAAGTAAAAGAACAAGAGTTTTTTTCAGACATGATTTCAGGCATTTTTCAAAACATTCTACCAATTAGTTTTTGGTTTCTCACACTTTTTACCAGTTATGCTATCTAATAAATCTATCTGTTGCTCAATTTGTTTAACTTTCCTATAAAATCATTTTTATATACCAATTAATACCAATTTTTCTTTTGATTTTTGTTTTTATAAATTTATTTGCCTTTTTTTTTTACATGTTTAAAGTTTAAATTTCTTATTTTTAGTGTCTAAAA